ATTATCATGATACCCTCCCTTACCTTGCCCCAGATATATACAGTTCCTCAGAACATGTTACCCCCTTTACCCCTCCCCCCTTCGCAGTTTCGTGAACACGTAGCATGGGGGGTTGTTGTACCAGAATCAGTCTGAGGCAACCAGCATTATACATTAATAGACAGGATTCGGCATCTTCGCTAGCCAAGGGTTTCTGATACGCTACTCTCCTAATAAACATGAGGAGAGTAGCGTATCAGAAACCCTTGGCTAGCGAAGATGAGGGTTCGAGGGCAACATGCGTTTTGTCGGACCCAAGAACCAAACTGTTTGCACGAGACGATTAGGCCGAAGGCAAATAGTTTTGTTCAAGGGGTCGACAAAAACACGTTTTGCCAGATCTAGAGAACACATTCGATAAATATTTTGTTATACATTTTACTGTTTATTATGATATTATCATGATGGAATTTTTGTTAACCCTCACTGCATTGAAAAACTGTCAATTCCATAAAGTTCTGACAGCTGACCCCACCCACACTTTGACGTAAACGGTGCATTATCTCATCGAAAGGTCCGACATCTCGCTCCATGGTCAAACAGCTATTTATTTGACTATATTTGACTTATGAAAACAGTAGAAAGGTTATTCTTTTTAAAGTGTAAATTTATATAACAATTTTTAAAAGTATAACAAATAAAAATTAAGACAACTCACCTGAAAAAAATTTGACAAGCAAAAAAAAGGGGGGGGGGGTTGGTGAAAGGAGGTTACAACAGTTCGACAACCAAATTGTATTCACACATTAGCAGTATTTAAGTATTCTGAAACAATAATAATAAAGAAATGTTTGATATTATTAAGAAATTTTCCAAATTATTAATTGGGTTGTTCTTTTTTATGGAGAGGCTTTCATATTGGAAGTGAGGGTTCGTGAATTGGTGAATTGAATCTTTGTGATATACATGTACGAACATTACATACTGAGGGGGAGGGTCCTGTGCCCAAGCACATGATATATAATCCAATTGATCATGTTATCTAAATTGCTGATTGTTTTCTGGAACTGATGAAGCCACAGAAAAAATCTCTTTTCGTAACTTCAGATTATAAAGTAAATAACCAAACATAGATTTATAGATATCTACGTGTAAATAAAAAGGTATTGGCAGTATAAAAGAGATGAAAACAACACCAAGTATATGCATTTGACTTTATTTTGCGACTCCCCCTGCGATGTGCTTTCCCATGAACGACTCCCCCCTACGTAACCGTTACTGTCTGAAGAGAAAATGTCTTAATTATTTATTTTTATAAAGTCTAGTCAAGTTTAAGTTGTTGCATTTAAAAGATAAACGTTTTCTCTCGCTGTTTTCAATATGAGAATCCCTACGCAAGCCGTAGATTGTGCAAATCATGCATGTTTTTACTACCCGATCAACGTAAATATGAAAACTGAATAATAGTTTCGAAGTGTTTGAGAAAACTAGACTATATAATAGCCGGATAAATGACCATGATAAAGCTTAACTATTGCCACCTTCCGTGGGATATTTGTTTTTTGTAAATACATCTTCTATATACCGAAAAAAGACGTGACCCACATCTCCTCTGACTCCGAAGCGGTGAAAATCTACTCCCCCATACGTTGGAAACGACTCCCCCATACTTTTTAGCGACTCCCCCGCGTTACCCGTTGTATACGGTGATCCTAGCATTCTTTAATCGTCAAAACATTAAAGTCACGCATATTAGAGTATTTGAATCAAAGTACGGAAAGTCCCCGAAGTCAGCAAAAATTAACATTTCTCCTTTTAGCGCGGACTTTGTCGAATCGGACCAATTTCAACTGCCAAATGGAGTGCGCATGAGAAGGTGGCTCAGTGTAAAACAGTGGCATCAGAAATTGGCCGACAGAGAAGACCTAGATCAGGAAGAATACTGACTTTGATCGTAATTATGAACATTAAAGTTACGTTTACTTCTTTAATGTTGCTCAGTCTATTAACTTGGAACGTAAGAGGTATCATATCTTCATCATTATGTCTGTCAAATGTTATGAGGCATACTGATTGTGATATAATAGTTGTATGTGAACACAAGCTTTGTCCACAATATTCTAAGTTCGTTAATAGTATCGATTTCAATTATCAAAGCATGGTTAAATGTGAGCAAATTTCAAATGGTAGCACCCATGGAAAATCAGGTGTTGGGATATTGTACAAAAAGTCTATGAGTTTCAATATTAAAGAAATCAATGTTGAATCAAGTAGAATTATCGCATGTGAAATAAAGCAAAGGTCTGGATACCCTATTTTTATCTTTGGAGTGTACTTACCGGCAGATAATTGCATTGATACATATATTGAAGAGCTAATAAGGCTAGATAACATGTGTACATATTATTCAAATTTTGGTCATGTTATAATTGCCGGCGATTTTAATGTAAGCTGTGTAATTAAAGATTATGGAAAATCAAATGTACTTAAGTCAAAGGAATTAATCAATTTTATAGAGTCAAACCGGTTATTTAACATGTTTAACCTATATAATAGTTTAAAAGCAACAGAACTTAATCCCCAATACACTTTTATTGGAAATGATACCATGCTTGACTACATATTCCTGGATGAAAGCTTTACAGATCAAGTGAAAACATTTAAAATTTTTAATGAGGGTGAAATTTCGAGTATATCAGACCATCTACCAGTATATGTTGAGATAAAAGTGAATGAAAATCTCCATATTTTGTCACCTATCGATAAACAACTTCCAGCATGGCATAGGGCATCAAACAAACAGATCGCATCGTATGAGACTGTAGTTAATCATGAAATAGCCACTACCGACATTGCATCAAAGATTCAAACATCTGAAGAAATAGAGTCTGTGTATAACCATGTTACATCTATTATGACTAAAGCAGCACAAAAGACAATACCAATTTCTAAATATAACAATCACACAAAACCCTACTGGACACCTGATGTCAAGAGCGCACATCAAAACGAACGTCATATGAGAAAATTATGGATGAATGATGGAAAACCACGAGGAATGGAATATACATCCTACAGTAATTACAAAAAAGCTAAGCGTGAATTTAGAAATACTCTGGACAACGCGTACGAAATGTATATTGATGGTGTAAATAAAGATATAGATGACGCAGCAGGATGTGACGTACGACTATTTTGGCGCTTACTTAAACAGCAGAGACCAACGGAAGATAAGATATATCCAGAAATTAGACATAAAAACAAACTAGGAATCTCTCCGGATGGTGTTGCAGAAGTTTTCGCTGAATACTTTGAAGAAAATTATCAACAGCATAATGACAATCAGTTTGATGAAATCTTCTTTAAAAATACACAAGAAAAATATAAGCAAATAAAAGCGATTATTTCCAATGCTACTTTACCAGGAGGTCCTATATTGCGTTCTGAAGTCTTAGACACCGTTTTATCCTTGAAAAACAGAAAACCCCTGGGGTAGACCAAATACAAGCGGAGCATATTAAACACTGTGGGGAGAAAATGATACAAGTTTTTTGCAACATATTTAACGCAATCCTAGAGGTTAAATACGTTCCGTCATTGTGGAAGAAAAGTATTATTGTCCTTATACATAAAGGTAATAACAAACCAAAAGCAGACCCTAATAGTTATAGACCAGTATGACTTTTATGTACAATTTTTAAAGTGTTTGAAAAAATCATTCATGATCGAATACAATCATTTATTTTGTGTCATGAACATTTTCCTAATGCTCATCAGCAAGGGTACCAAAAAAGTTTAAGTTGTACTACAGCATCATTTGTATTACAAGAAACCATATACTACAATATAGAAAACAAAAGCAATGTATATTCTGCATTTTTAGACAGTACCAAAGCTTTTGACTCCGTGTGGAGACAAGGTTTGATGGTTAAGTTGAATAAATTGGGGATTATTGGCAAATTATGGTCTATCATTGATGATTGTCATATAGATACACATAGTGCTATTACTGTTAATGGATGCATGTCAAAATGGTTTAATGTTGAACAAGGTGTACGACAAGGGGTAGTTTTATCAGGCTTTTTGTATTCAGTTTTTATAAATGACTTGCTCATTGAACTTAATAATGCTAGTAAAAATATGGGTATTTTAAACACCAAAATTTCAAACCCAACCCTTGCAGATGACATAGCTTTGTTAAGTTTGACCCCAGCAGGTCTCCAAATGTTACTTAATGTTGCGTATGAGTACTCATGTAAATGGCGTTTTAATTTTAGTGCTGAAAAATCAAATGTTGTAATATTTAGAGATAATAACAAAAAAGTATTTAGTAATTACGCATGGCATGTTGGTGACAAGGTCATACCAATTTCGACAAATTTCATCCATCTTGGCGTACAACAGACATCAAACCTTTGAGCTTTACCGAACACAATCCGCTCATGTGAAAAAGGAAGGAAATCATACTTTGGAATAAAAGCAAATATGCTTAAGAAGCCTCATCCCAGGACGTTAGTTAGTATTTATAGGAAAGTCGTATTACCTTCAGTATTATTTGGCTGTGAGTTATGGAACAACTTAAAAACAAAAGATTTGAACATTCTGAATAGATTTCAACATTTTATTGTCAAAGACATACAAAATTTTCACAAATCAACAAGAACGACTGTTTGCGAAAGTATGCTCGGATTACAACCAATACAAGCTGAAATTGGTAAAAGAAAACTATATTTCTTTGGAAAGCTCTGCTGCATGGATAGTAATCTCCTTCCGAAACAAAATCTTTACTTTACGAATGTTCGAGTATCTTAACCATAACCAGACATCAAAATTCGGTTTTGTCGAAGAACTTATCCATATTATCCAGAAATACTCCTTAGAAAGATTACTTCATACATACATAGGTAATACCAGTTTTCCGTCCAAAAATATTTGGAAGAATATCGTAAAACAAGCTATTAATTCTCACTACAATTCTTAATGGAAAGACGTAATTTACTCCGATTCAGATTTCACGGACTTCAAGTTTCTCCATACATCTGTGCATTTGGCTTCACTCTGGGCATATCCACTTTCAACAAAAGAAATGCAAATGGTTAAGTTCATTTCAAATCTATGGACTCTTGTACCAAAAAAGGACATATACCAGTGCATAATCTGCTAGAATCCCTTTACAAACAGTTTCCAACATGCCATAGCGTCGTGTTCTATAACATCTAATGAAAGATCTGAATTTATGTTTGAATTATCAGACGAATACAGCAATGTTTACACAGATTTTGTTAGTTTAAACGAGTACGATTTTTATTTATCTGTTCTTAGGGGTACCCATGACCAAGTATTAGACAAAAAGAAGTTTATGTTAAAATGTTTTTCATCTAAAGTTTCTAGTATAATGCCACTTCGTAGACAATGTGTATGAAACACAAACATGAGGTTGTTCTTTTTATGTTTTCATACAGCGTATACAAACAGCTGACAAACAAACTGTATATACTTGTTCTATATATATATATATATATATATATATATATATATATATATATATATATATATATATATATATATATATATATATATATATATATAAAAGCACTAAAAATGACCAACGACACGAACAATAAAAATTGTCAAATTTTCGGGACGCCCTGTCCCTTCCTCAGGACAAAGAAAAGAGTTAAAAAGTCATAAGAACAAAGGAAAAAGCGAAACAAAAAACAACTAGCACTACTACTAAACTACTAAACATATATATATATATATATATATATATATATATATATATATATATATATTTATCTTTTTTACTTCTCATTGATGTATATATGTTGTAATTGATGTGTTGTAATTCAAATCTCCAAATGGAGGAAATAAAGATCGAATGAATGCAGCTTCACCTTATCAGTCTCAAGTATGTAAAGTAAATCAATACCAATTTCTTCAAGTCCATGCTGAGCTTAATTGACTGAAGTCAGTTTTGACTTCGCAATTTCGATTCTTAGCATCTGCAGGAAAGATTTTTGTGTTTCAACCAAGAAATTTTACTAATTAATTTATGGTTTAACAGCGATTGAAGGGCGAAATAAAATGTACCAAGGTTGACAGATTTATTCAGTAAATGTACACAAACTGCGCCAAAAATGTCTCAAAACGCATTCTTGGTTGTTAAAGTGTTAGTGAAAAAGTGGTTTGCCTTTTTGGAATTTCAAAAAACATTCATAGCGACTCTGAGAGAAATTTTTGAAAGTAAAATTGTGATTGAGCTTTAGTAAGAAGCATTATAACTAAAATTGTTAACTTGACTTACTTGACTTTTTCTGGTTCGCTCCTTGGGAAGCATAGGACTGCAACCACACCGAGTTTTGGGCTATGTTTTTTAAAAGGGTCCAGGTAAAACCTGCCTCTATTGCCTCAATTCTCACAGTGTCCCTTTTCCTAGGGCCCGTTTAAGAAAAAAACTTTCGACTAAGACCAAAAACTTCAGATAATTCTAAAATTTTGCAAAATGAATAATTCTCTTTTAAACTGTCTGTGTAATAATATCTTGCCACATTTCTTTTAAAAACTTTGAAATAATTTTCGATATAATTTTACTTAAAAAGTGATATGAAGAGTTGGATTTGGTCTAAAGTTGTAAGCCCTTTTGTAAAACGGACCCGGGTCTCCCAACCCTTTTTCCTTGTAGATACGAACCCAGAGCCTGTTTTGTGATGTTTTTCGAGGGTTTGCGTAAATTGTGGCCTATCCAACCCCAATTTTCTCTTCTTTATGTCAATGTCTATGTGATTTTGGTTTATTCTCTCCCCTCTCCCGTGGGCGGCTGTTTAATATTGTGTCAGGCCATCTGATGCTAAGGATATGGCGGAGACATTTGCTGATGAAAGACTGCACTTTGTTGTTTTATTTACCCTCCAAGTCTCGAAACCATAAAAGAGAACTCCTTTAACATTAGTAACATCCCATTTTAATTGGCAAAGCGGAAATATATATATTAACCGCACATTAAGGTTGGTCTGTACTTTCATAAATTTCTGTCAAACTAATAATTTTTTTATTTAAATATCTTAAATATTTCATAAACTAACTAAAACACCCATAAAAGACACACCTGCAGGTTAATTTTTATACATGTCTAAGAGTACCTACGTCTTAAAACTGAACAGCCAAAAGTGAACATAAAGAAGTCTGGTATCATATTTTATTTCGCAATGCACCAAATCAAATCAAATTCATGTTAAATCTTGTGAAAATCAAAAATAATTCATATTCAAGGAAAATATTTGAATTTTTTTCTGCAAATCATTGAAAAAATGATGTTGAAGCTGTCCACGTCTATCAGAAAAAAATCTCAAAATCTCTTTATTCTTAAAAATCTCAAAATCTAAGTTGTTCATGTGCCATTTTGTCTTTAAAACTATTAAGAATTATACCTAAGGTTCACAAAATCACATATTTATTATTGTTGACCAGAAAAATTTAACAAAACAGCCCTTTGAACACGTATACCCCCTATTTCGGAATACTAGTATCAAGTTTTACAATCATTCTTTGCATAATTTAAAAAAAATGAAAATATGAAAAGGAGATACATGCCCAAAATAAATGGAAAAAGATCTCTAGTTAGTTTTTTTTTTTTTTAAATAAAAAGATTTAGGTCCATAAAGAAGGATATGGAAATAACGAACAGTATTCAATCTCAACGTCCATTAAACAAATATACAAAATAAGAGCAGAGCAAACACAGACCTCCGAAACATCAGAGGTGGGATCAGGTGCCATGGAGGAGTGAGCATCCCCTGCCGACCGGTCACACCCGCCGTGTGCTCGTTGTCATAATCAGGAAATAACGGAAAAAATCCGTGGTCAATTCAGTGTATAAATAATGGACTAACAATTGGTATGAAAAACGTCAGTCAGCATTTCATTCAATGATAAATTGTATTTGCTGACAAGGTCATTGTATCGACCATAGAATTTACGAAATGATGACTTTAAACGAGACTGTTGATATTCTTGTTTCATCAACTTGCTTGTCAATAATTTACCTCGTTTCAATTAAGAATGATGCGTCTTTGTTTGTACTTAATGACAGATAGATCCTATGAAAAGAGTACAAATTGTTAATTTCCATAACAAATGTATTATAAATGTATATCAAATGCTTTGTATGCACAATAACACCGTAGCAAACAAATATATACTTGCTATATTATTATCAATCATCAAAAAGATTTTATTTCTTTTGACAATTGATACATGTAATAAGAATTTTGTGTTGGTGTGTAAAATTAAAACCGGATCCGTAAAAGTATGGACCTTCCTCCAGGACATTATCTTCCAGAAAAAAAGATAAAATAAATTGAACATTTATCCAACCTAATGTATGCAATGAAATAAAAGGAGATAACGATCAGCATTCGGGCTCAAAAGTCCATAAAACAATACAAATCAGAGCAGAGCACATATGGACATCTAAAACATTAATGGAATGGGATCAGGTGCTATGGAGGAGTGGGAATACCCTGCTGACCAGTCATACACGCCTTGGGATCCTTGTCATAATCGGGAAATGACGGAATAATCACACATGTTTGTAAATAATGATCTTACAATAAGTAACTAACAATAAAATTAATATGAATAATGTCAGTCAGCATTTGACTTAATGATAGATTGTATTTGCTGACAAAGTCATTGTATCGCCCATAAATCTTATGAACTGATTAATTTTAACGAGACTTCTGATACTGATTTATTGTTTCATCTACTTGTTTGTCAAAAACGTTAACAATTTCTTCAAACGTAGAGTATGCTCTTAAGTATCGAATCGACTGAGAGATATATACCCCGTATGCAGGGGAGTTAGGTATATTGCTACAAACGTAACAGAAATTGACGATTTAAAATCAAAACCATCCCGTTTATCACATATCTTTGTTGTTAGATTACCATTAACGTCTTTTTTAGTAAAATATTGTAATTATGTGAAACAGACTTGTCAGACTCTGTGGTTAGATTACCATTAACGTCTTCTTAGTATAATATTCTAATTATGTGAAACAGACTTGTCAGACTCTGTGGTGTGTTTTATTTTATGCTTACCAAGATATATCTTACCTACATAAGAATGGAAATGATCATTATTAATTGACAGTACTTCGTCGATAGATCTAAATGTCGAGTTGAAGATCACATTTAGTGTTTTCTCCTTTTTCATAAAAAAAATTAACGAAGAATTACAAAAATTATAGTCTGCTAATACCGAAGCGATGTGAATTTGTTTATGATTCTTCTCTAACCATTCAGTTCACCAATGGATCAGACATGATCAAGTGTGATGTGGCCTAAAAAATAATGTCAATTCCTAAAGAAGTAAATTTAGTGACCCTCTATACACCAACATTTTTTTTTGGACTCTACAGAAACTAGATTACATAAAGATGTAAATATGAAATTTATCTACCTTTTTAGGTCACCTGAGTAACTCAGGGGGGGGTGGGGGGTGGGGGTACAAAGTCTGAAAATAAATTAATGGTTTGAAATCTGCTCTTTCGTATTAATCAACCATTTTATGATAGAATTTGCAAAATTTTGAAATATGTGGCCACAGGATCAGTGGTTCCTTTGGGATGAGGTGCACAACTGGTTATAAAGTGGAAGTGTATTTTCTCTTTGTTACTCTGATCTACCTTTGGACATTAAGGAAATAGAGTAAGCATGCTAAGTCTATAATTATGGTAAGCAATGGTGCCTCTTTCAAAATTGTGAATTGCGAATTTCATGGCCTTTGGTTTAAAACATGAACCAAATTTAATTGTTTGAAAGTTGTTACACAATATAGGTGACCTATAAGGCCCGTGGGCCTCTTGTTTTCATAAGGTTCTGTCCTTTTCTCACAGAAACAAGATGTGTTTGTGAAACACTGATGCCCCCGTTTGGCCGCTTATGGCGAGGGTTGGTTTCTCAAATGCTGGTCAAATTCTGTGTCAAGGTCAAAATTGTTGTTATCTAAAGGAAGTTCTTGATAAAATGAATGCTCAATTTATGAAATATGAAAGGCCGTGTAATAAATGTTCAAAAGTAATGACCATGGTTAAAGTTTTAATTAAATTGGGTCAACCTCTAAGGTCAGGGTCAAAAGGTCAAAATCATTTATACCCATTCAAAGGATTTGTCACAGTAAATACACATAAAGTGAAGTATGTAACAACTAGTTTCAATTATACAAAAGTTATGCTAAAGTTAATGTTCGGAACTTTTTTGATAAGATGGGTCGAAATTCAAGGTCAAGGCCACGAAGTCAAATTTGGCGCTACACAAAGAAGGATACACCTATGATATATGGGGCTATGAAAGCCATAGCCCCATTCACCCACTGAAATGTATGGGCAAGGTTTAATTTTTGCGAACAAAAAGACAAACAGACAGACAGACGAACGGACAGGGCAAAAACTATATGCATTGTACGTTCAAATTTTTTATGGGGGTATTTTTAAAAATAATGAAGTTTTGATAAACAGAAATTACTGTTGCTTACGTAAATTGGAGATTGATATGCACATGAAGTTTTCAGTTTATTCATGTAAACTTAATGAAATGTTTAGAAGGATAGAAATTATGACAAATTGATTTATAATCTTTAAATTTCTATTTATTTAAATTTTACACCTAAGAACAGAATAACTCTAACAACCTAAAGTTACATGGAATTGGAACTTTTTTGTAAGCAGTGTATAGAGGGTTATTCTAAATAAAAAAAAAGAAAAACACGAAAAACTTTACTGAAGTTTTTCGTGTTTTTCTTTTTTATTTTAAGTATTTAATTCCAACCACTGAGACTTTTTATTGGATTATCTATGAGGATTATTAAATATACAAGTAAGGACTTAAACCTTAACTATTTACAAGTGATAATTAAAGTGTTTAAAAAGATCTTGTCACAAGAAAAACAGATATATTTAGGGGTTGGGCCATGTAATAAGCCTTTCAACTAATTTTCAAGTTGCACATATCATAAAAAACATTTGATAGATAATTTTATATCTTCGTGAAATTCTCAAAATTAAGATTTTAAGCTAAACATGCCTTCATTAAAACATTAATATGATTGATTGATTGTATATTGTTGAACGTCCCACTCGAGAATTTTTCACTCATATGGAGACGTCACCGTTTGCCGGTGAAGGGCTTCAAATTTAGACCTATACTCGGCACTCAGGGCCATTGAGTAGTGAGGGTTCTTTATCGTGCCAACGCCTACCTTGACACGGTACCTACGATTTTAAGGTCATATCCGAAAGACCCGTGACTTTCACTTCTAGTGCCGAGCGCTCAAAGCGAAGGAACAGTCACTACCAATGTTTACGTCTCGGGTTTGACGCGGCGCCGCGAACGAGAATCGAACCCGGGCCTCCCGATCACGAAGCGAAAGCTCTATTACTAGGCTACCTTAACCGATTAAAACATTAAAATATTAATTATCAATCATTGATTTGTACGATGTTGTGTTGGAAAGGTATCTCAAATGTGAAAAACGACCAAAATGTGCCAGCTATCGTTTATAGGAATGACATATAGGCTGCTGCGGTTTGTATTCTTATGTGCACAACAGGGTTCCTTATATTACATGTTTGGTACACAAAAGTGTTGACGAAAACAAGGAGATTGTTTTCACGCTGTCTGAAATAACGATATTAAGTGAAACCAATGATTAATTAACGTCCCACTTGAAAATGTGTCATTCATATGGAGATGCCACCGTTTGCCGATGGAGAACTACTTTTGACATATGCTTGGTACTCATGGCCTTGAGCAGGGAGGGATTTTTTCGTGCAAGCTTTGGTTTACTAGTATACGGTCTCACCTGAATGACCGATCACCATGTCCCACAGTTGGATTCGATCCCGATACGTAAGGATCAACTCCTTTGTCCTCGACTCTAGAACAGACACTCTTACCACTGCTCCACGCAGGCGAATGATGCAGAAGCCAAAACAGGGTGTGGATAGATTACACGATCAGTATGTATTGGTCACTGTTGAAAAAAGAAGTAACAACACTGTTTGCAAGGTCCATTCTTTAATTGTATTTTAAAATTTGTATTTTTTCTGCAAGTGGCAATCCTGCGTATATTCATACCTGTCTTTCTATGGAGGAAATTTTTCAAAATCCTATGTCATTTTCGAATATCTTTACTATTCCCAACACCCAAACATTTGAAGTAACATATCTATTTTGGATTACGAAACTTCACAAAAAATACTTACATACAAAGAAACATAGCGGATTCCAATAAATGTTCTAATGAGCTTTTTTGAAACAAAATTAGTTTTAGTGAACAAGAAATAAACGTTTTAGTTATATTTTTTCCTGAGGCCTAAGTCTGGTTCTTGGTCCAAGGGGCAAAGGTTTGACATAAAAATTCTGATCATTATTTTGAATCAGTCACGTAAACAACTTCACTGAAAGCGTGTCAATTTTCAGGAACTCTTACTAGTGGTGAAATGCTTATTTTGTATGTGTTTGATGTTTTTGTTTGCATTGATATTACTTGTTTGTTTATTTTAGGTATTTATTTGTTGTTTAACTTCTGAAGGAGAATCTTTCACTCATTTTGAGACGCCATCACTTGCTGAACTTTTTTCGTCCCAGTATCTATTGTGCCGGGCTTACAGGCAGTCTCGATTTATACTATCTGCTACATATAGCTGGTCTCCTCTTCCCGCAGTGGGATTCGAACTCACGACCTACGGATTAACTCTTTACCCCCGCGACTCTATAGCAGACACTCTAACATTCTGCCATGCATTTGAGCGTGATACCTGTAAACACCTTTGATTTGAATTAAAGCCTGCAAAGATTGGAACCATTATCTTTTTGAAAAATGTTTTAAAATCCTCAAACATCCGACATTCGTGTCTATTGACTGAGCTATGCGCATACCAACAACGAGGAAAAAAGAAAAATGAAGCAATATTTTAGTCTTTTTGAATATTTAAGTTCTTAAACCTGATACCTTCAAACAAAACTTACACTGCTTATGCAAATACTTAATTTTGTTATTTTGTCCGTCTATGCGTCATGACTTTGCGTTCATAATATGAAAGTTGAGTGAATTGTGAATTGGCCGCAAGTCTCGCCGCTTTCTCTGTTGTGCTTGTGATTGCACCAATGGTAAAACATATTAGCCTATTTGGTAAATATTTTTTATACCCCCCGCTTGAAAAGCGGGAGGGTATATAGTAATCGTTAATTCCGTCCGTCCGTCTGTACGTCCGTCCGTCCGTCCGTCTGTTACGCTTTGGGGTACCCATCTCTTATCCGCAACTCCTCTCATACCACTGAATGAAATTTGATAAAACTTTCACAGAATCTTTATTACATGTTGCCATTGTGCACCTCCTATTTTACTTTTTGATCCGACACATATTTTGGGTTTCCCGGCGACAGGAAAACACGACTTTTTCACCAGTTATAACCATATGGGAGGCGGGGGGTATCATTTAGTGAGCTAATCGCTCACAGTACCTCTAGTTTTTCTTTAGAAAGTTTGAATTATAGACTTAAGTTTGTTTTGTGCAAGGGAAAGAGGGAAGGTTCTAGCAAAGCATTTTGAAGTTCACAAAAAAATGAAACTTACTCGTTAGCAAACATCCGTGTACATAATCACAATCATTTTCACTACAGTTACAAATAGTATTACATCTTGGACCATATGATGGGTAATTGCAGGGGACATTGCACTCCAAGCCATAGTATCCTGATGGACATTCTATCAAATATTAGCAGGTCTAAAGTGTTCTAAAATGACAGGTTTTTATACAGTTTAAACGATATATAAAATAATTATTATTAAACTATATACTAGGAGATGTACAGACTCATCATTCGTAATGTAACGAAGCTTTTTTTAAGAATGAAGTCAGTATTTCGTTTGAAAGAATAACAATCTTAGACACAAAACCTTTGAAAAAAAATAATTATGATAGGTTAGCTGTTGTTTGAATACAATACTAAAACTTAATTTACCAATACAATCAGTTCCATTATAGAAGTAAAACGTGCAACATACTGGTACATCACCTGGTCTGAAAGATAATTAAGATAAATAAAAAAGTGTAACTCATTATGGGTTTTCGTTTTCTAAAATTGTGTTTATTTAATGATATAAATGGCGTTTTAAAAACTCTCTTGGGATAATGTTTGCATTATAGTCCAAAAATAATGAAATATTATATATAAATGAATAAATATTTACTTTGCCATTAATATGGGTTTCAAAAGAGTAGAACTCAGTGATATACAAAACATACGAAAAACATATACGAGGGTTGTTCGATATGTATTGTGTATTGTACGATATCTCAAAAGCATTCGATTCAAATAGTCAAATGGACATAACATCCCTTCAAAGTATTCTCCGTGATTTGAAATACACAATTTTAATCTCTGAATCCATTTCTGAAATGCGTCACGATACGCTGATTTAGGTATACCTCTGAGGCACTGACTGACGGCTGAGCCAAGGGCCTGTCGGGATCCCAAGCCATGTTCCATAACTCTTATATTTTTAGAGGTAATTAGAGCACAAATGTAAATATAAAAATAGATATACACCTTTTTCATGCACAATGTAAATTGTTTTCCATAGCACTTAGCCTACTTATACTTTCCATTGCACTTAGTTTTTTTTTTTCTTATACTTTTTAAATTAAAATTTACAAGTTCCGTGAGGTATAATGATTTTGATCCGTCTGTCAGTCAGTCAGTTGTCAGTCCTTTTTTTGTCAACTCCTCATAAATCGCTGCACAGAATTTCGTCAAACTTTGCAGATATTTAAGACATAATGTTTAGATGTGCATATTACCATAAAATTCCGATTCCTTTATTTTTTACGGGAATTTCCGCACTTTTCAACTTATATTTTTGGCCATATCCTGAATATAGAAATGAACAGTTTGTCAGCACAACTCCGCTTAAACCGCTGCACAGAATATTGTCAAACTTTGCAAATATGTAGTACACATTTTGAAGATCTGCATATTACCAGGAAATTCCGAAACCTTAATTTTCCCGGGAATTTCCGCATTTTTTAACTTATAATTTTGGCCATAGCCAAAATTATCCAAAACATAGTTAGTACACAGTTTGAAGATTTGCACATTACCAAGAAATTCCGGTTCCTTTTTTTTTCTTGGGAATTACGGCACTTTTCAACTTAGATTTTTGGCTATACCTTGAATACAGAAATGAACATATTGTCAATTTCAGCACCTCGAGTTTAGGGGGAGCGTGGGGCATGTGAGCTTGCTCACTTTTTCTTTCAACAAAATGTATATTATGAAACTAGATACACATGTTCAAGTATGTAAATATTCAATTTAATTATTAAAGAAAGAAGATTAAAATAAAATATTTCTATTATCGCATTCAAGTTATTTCAAATTCCATATTAGAAAAATAGAAAGCAAGTGTTAGAATGAATGAATAAAAATAAATAAATGAATAACATGTCTCTGTTCTTTGAACGAGCTAGTCCAAGATAGTGTAAATTAATCAATTAATTAAAAAAAATAACAAATCAAGGAATGCATTTAACTATTAAAGAATTCTTAAATTTACGAAAAATGAGTGAATTCATAAATGTTCAAATTATGAATGAAATAGATAAATAAACGTGAACTCATTATGATAAATAAATGTGTGAATCAATAATGAATAAATAAAATAAAGTAAAATAAATAACGTTAATAAGCAATAATGATGGTAATTAATATAACTAACTAAAATTAAACTTAATATATTATATTTTTCGTGTTGGAGTGAAATGACCTGGGTTGTGGAGAGAAATGACCTGGGTTAAGGAGGGAAATGACCTAGGAGAGAAATGACCTAGGCGGAGCAGGTACTGGGGAGAAATGTTCATATGAACGAGGAGGACGAAAGCCAATTTGCTATATTAATACGCATAGTCACTAAAAATACTATTAAATTTCCTGTTAGGAAATTTACGCCTGATACCAACATCCTCTTTCTGTTCCTACATATACAAGAATAAACAACTTTGATACATTAGATAAATATATAAGCTTCAAAGTAAAGCATGTGTATTAGTTCTCTTCTATTTTAGGAATTTTTTAAAGAATGAAAGTAGTTTTTCTCGAATAAGTGTGAGATGTAAAGTTCACCAAATAAATTTTATTTGATTGATATTTTACCATCACTTGTCATTATTTTTTTTCTGGATCACACATTTAGAGAAAAAAAAACAATCTTATCTTACTTGGATGGTTGTTCACATATATTTTGACCGCTTCCAAGGCACAAAGATTCAAAAACACCAAAAGCAATTAAACAAAGTGCTATTTCTGCCATCACAATTCGTAAGTGGCTTGCAAGCTTTCTTGCATCAATTCAACAAGGAAGAAAATATTACCTTCTAATTCCATTTTTAGAATGTTCAAATGGATCTCCATAAAAAGATAGATGAACAAGGCAGGCAATGAACATGAAGTGATACTTCAATTATATCAATTTTCTTTGATATTAAATTTTCATTTAAACTTAAATCATACTTTATGTAAAATTTCTATATTTTACAAAACTTTCAAAAAGACCTAAATTATTTTCCCCTGAATTGAAATAGCATACATACTAAAGAGGACAAATAGGGTAGATTTCTAAACTGTAACCATTTTTATTAATATGAATAGGCCTTTGCCCCGTTTATCCTAAGAGATTGCATAAATATGAGAGTGATATTTTATCCAAAATCAAATGATGCATAACAAACAAAAAAGTTTTCCTTTAAAAAATGATATGGCAGTAGTGTAATTTTAACCTTAGCAATTAAACAAGAGGCCCATGGGCCACATCGCTCACCTGAGAAGCTTTGACCATTCTGTTCTTTACCAGATTTCCCCTTGTAATACATAATGCATCCCCACCCTACCCCACTGATTATAATTTAGACATTTTGAAATCTACACTACCCCATGATCCTTCCATGTGCACATAAGTTTAAGTTTTTCTGGCCTAGTGGTTCTTGAGAAGAAGATTTTGAAATATATTTCTATGCAAAACTTTGATTACTAATTGTGGCCCTGCCCTTCCCCCGGGGGTCATGATTTGAATAATTTAGAATCTACACTATACCAGGATGCTTCCACATAACTTTCAGCTTTTCTGGCCCAGTGGTTCTTGAGTAGAAGATTTTCAAAGATTGTTCCTATATATTTCTATGTAAAACTTTGATTCCCCATTGTGGCCCCGCCCTATCCCCGGGGGTCATGATTTTAACAATTTAGAATCTACACTACCCCGGGATGCTTCCACATAAGTTTCAGCTTTTCTGGCCCAGTGGTTCAGTGGTTCTTGAGAAGAAGATTTTCAAAGATTTTTCCTATTTATTTCTATGTAAAACTTTGATTCCCCATTGTGGCCCCTCCCTACCCCAGGGGGTCATGATTTGAACAATTTAGAATCTACACTATACCAGGATGCTTCCACATAACTTTCAGCTTTTCTGGCCCAGTGGTGCTTGAGAAGAAGATTTTCAAAGATTTTTCCTATATATTTCTATGTAAAACTTTGATTCCCCATTGTGGCCCCGCCCTACCCCCGACGGTCATGATTTGAATAATTTAGAATCTACACTATACCAGGATGCTTCCACCTAACTTTCAGCTTTTCTGGCCCAGTGGTTCTTGAGAAGAAGATTTTCAAAGATTGTTCCTATATATTTCTATGTAAAACTTTGATTCCCCATTGTGGCCCCGCCCTATCCCCGGGGGTCATGATTTGAACAATTTAGAATCTACACTATACCAGGATGCTTCCACATAAGTTTCAGCTTTTCTGGCCCAGTGGTTCAGTGGTTCTTGAGAAGAAGATTTTCAAAGATTTTTCCTATTTATTTCTATGTAAAACTTTGATTCCCCATTGTGGCCCCTCCCTACCCCAGGGGGTCATGATTTGAACAATTTAGAATCTACACTATACCAGGATGCTTCCACATAAGTTTCAGCTTTTCTGGCCCAGTGGTTCTTGAGAAGATTTTTTAATGACCGCACCCTATTTTTGTCTTTTCTTGATTATCTCCCTTTGTGAGGAGACTTGGCCCTTTATTTTAACAATTTAAATTTCCCTTTACCCAAGGATGCTTTATACCAAGTTTGGTCAAAATTGGTCCAGTGGTTCTTGAGAAGAAATCGAAAATGTGAAAAGTTTACAGACGGACAGACAGGCGGCTAGACGGACGGACGACGGACAAAATGTGATCGGAATTGCTCACTTGAGCCTTCGGCTCAGGTGAGCTAAAAAAAAGCAAAAGTATCTGATGATTTGTGACAAACAAGCTAACTACTATACTTCCCATCTCGTGCTGAACGGTGTCATTAAGGAGGAATGCCACACCAACTTTTTATACTCCCCGCTTGAAAAGCGGGGGGGGGGGGTATATAGTAATCGGTATTTCCGTCCGTCCGTCCGTCTGTACGTCCGTCTGTCCGTCCGTCCGTCTGTTACGCTTTGGGGTACCCATCTCTTATCCGCAACTGCTCTCATACCACTGAATGAAATTTGATGAAACTTTCACAGAATCTTTATTACAGTCATATTGCCATTGTGCACCTCCTATTTTACTTTTTGATGAGACACATATTTTGGGTTTCCCGGCCACAGGAAAACATGGACTTTTTCACCAGTTAAAACCATATGGGAGGCGGGGGGTATCATTTAGTGAGCTCATCGCTCACAGTACCTCTAGGTATTTTATAGATCTCTGAGTCAACCTTTTTAAACAATGGTTTCAGCATTGAAAGACCGACATTAGCTCTTAATTATTATACCCCCCGCTTGAAATTCCGTCTGTCTGTACGTCCTTCCGTCCGTCCGTCTGTCCGTCCGTCTGTTACGCTTTGGGGTACCCATCTCTTATCCGCAACTCCTCTTATACTACTGAGTGAAATTTAATGAAACTTTCACAGAATCTTTATTACATATTGCCATTGTGCACCTCTTATTTTACTTTTTTATTCGACAGGTATTTTAGGTTTCCCATAGCAAAACATGGACATTTCTATTATATTCTATATTTATATCCTATGACGTCACCTATAGAAGCTTCTAGATAACATTTGATAAGACGAGTTATTCCTCTTTACACATTACCGTAAAACAATAGCAAAACAATGACATTATGGGAGGCGGGGGTATCATTTAGTGAGCTCATTGCTCACAGTACCTCTAGTTTTATATGATTTTTTTTTTGGCATTTTTTCAAAGAAAATAAAAAAAAAATATTTACATCAAAATTAGATGCTTTCTTGAAAAATTTTGCCGTATAGATAATGAATTTTTATACCCCCCGCTTGAAAAGTGGGAAGGTATATAGTGATCGGTATTTCCGTCCGTCTGTCCGTCCATCCGTCTGTTACGCTTTATCTCTTATCCGCAACTCCTCTTATACGACTTAGTGAAATTTAATGAAACTTTCACAGAATCTTTATTACATATTGCCATTGTGCACCTCCTATTTTACTTTTTTGTTCGACACGTATTTCAAGTTTCCCATAGCAAAACATGGACATTGCCATTATATGTTTACCTATGACGTCACATATAGAAGCTTCTGGATAATATACAATTATTGCTGGTTTTTGAGGTCAGTACAATGATTTAGCCATCTGAGGAGTACAATATTCACCGAGCCCGAAGGGCGAGGTGAATATTATACTTCGAAGATGGCTAATTCATTGTATTGACCGAAAAAAACAGCAATAATTGTTTTATTATATGATTCACTGATAATTGATAAAATGATACAGCTCATTTGCATTTTATTAAGTCCTAGCCAAATACAAGAGAGTAGCAGAATTAAAATGTTAATAAACCTTACCAGTCGTATCAATTTGAATTTTTTTTTAAAAATCAATTTTAGAAGCCATAAAAGAAATATATAATGTCAGTCTTTTTATAGGATAGATTTTGAAAGGAAGGAGTATTATCAGGGAAAACTGACTGCCAAAAAGTAAAAAAAATTGTTGTTTAGTAAAAGTGTTGGAGGGGGGGTCCCTGCATCCCCTCTTACCACCCTCACCTAAAATATATATTCGCTTATGTTTTGTTCACATGAAAATGAAAATCATAGTCGTTTAAATAGCTTTTTAAAACAATTTGTATCAATTTGGAATTCCCCAATCTATTTTTAGATCAATGTAGAGGAAATAAATCCTTGTATTGACCTGGAACGTCACGTGCAGGTCAATACAACGTAATATTTTTTTAACATAGTTGGATCTCAGCCAATCAGAGAGATGGAAATTATTCAATCATATAATAACATTTGATAGGACGAGTTATTCCTCTTTACACATTACCATAAAACAATATATAGCAACACATGGACATTATGGGAGGCGGGGGGGGGGGTATCATTTAGTGAGCTCATTACTCACAGTACCTCTAGTTTAAAATAAAAAAATATGAAAATAAAACACATAATTTGTGAATATCTTTTAAACTTGTGGTTAAAAGCTTCTTAAAACCAGTCATAACTGGAAAGAACATGTTTGTTAGATATATTTATAAAATAAATTGAAATGAAATAGCCAAATTTTACAGATATTATTATTTTTTTAAATTTTGGCCAATCCCGATCAAAATCAACCATGATTATATAATTATTGGAAATAAATAACATTTCCCCAAGAACATTGTCTGATTAGGTGTAATAAAGGTTATAACATTATTGAACTTGACAATCAAATAGATTTCTTCATTGTAAATACATGAAAAAGGCAATAAATTAGTACTTTATTCATTAGTGTTAATTTTGATCAGGATCAGGTTAATTTTAAACGGGGTCCAAATATTAAAAATAATAATTTTTCCAAAATTTCTCAATTCGTTTCAATTTCTTTTTAAAATATGATTGACAGGCATGTTCTCCTCATTTGTGACTAGGTTTACGGTGTTTTTAACCATAGGTTTAAAAAATATTCACAAATAATGTGTTTTATTTTCATAAATAATTTTTTTTTTCAAAAAAAATTTAAAGTCTAACCAGCCTTTTTTTTTGCATATTTTATTAGATATTCATATCATGCATCCATTTACAGCAAACTTTTAACTTGAACACATCTTATTTGGATATATTTTTTTTTTCATTTTCTTTGAAAAAATACAAAAAAATTAATAATATTAAATAATTAAGAGCTAATATCGGCCTTTCAATGCTGAACCCATTGTTTAAAAATGATGACTCAAAGATCAATGAAATAAAAAGTTGGTGTGGCATTCCACCTTAAATCATGTTTGTGATATGGCCTTGACATAGTGGACTTGTTATTCTTCCTTGGAAAGATGCGATTGTTTTTTCA